TTATATGTATTTTTAAACCAGTTCAAGTTGAATCCAAAGAATGCCACTGTGTGGAGATGTGCGAGAGGCTGAGCAGACTCCTCTGGGGTGGGGTGAATTAGTTGCGTGTATGTGTGTATGCTCATGGTAAGTACGTGTGACAATTAGTGCACGTGTGTGTATGTATGCACATGAAGTACTTTGTGTCCGTAGCCTGTTCCCACGCTAACATGTTACCGTGTCACCCATCTAGGAGGAAGAAAAATCGAAACGGGAGGAGCTGGAAAAAATCCTGGAAGAGAATAACCGCAAGATCGCTGAGGCTCAGGCCAAGCTGGTATGATGCTGCTTTTTTCTTCTCTATACATACAGTCCTCCATTTCTGTTAAATTCATAAACCTCAGTTTGCTGCTGTGATCAAATACAAAGTGACTGGCATTGTTCTTCCTTTTCTAACACGAGACTTTAATGTTGTCTCAAACCCTGAACACCAGTTGCCTTTATGTAGCATTATAACTGGAGGACAGCGCTGTTTTCTGTTTTGATTTACTCTTATTTTTGAGTCCTATTTATATGTCCAAACCATTTTTGGTGTCATAAACTACTCAGTGTACTGTAAGTGCAGTAGGAAAATCCAACACATCACTTCTGGTTCATGTGCTTTTAATGATACAAAGCCCTGTCCTCTGCTGATTTCACTAAACCACCACATGACTGAACATCTTAATGGTCCTTTGCAAAGAACCATTTCTGCTGAGGGGCTTTGAAATGATGGTTATCAGTTGTGGTCAACACTTCCTGTTTTATTTGATTCAGACTTGACTTGGACAAACCGAGCTTGTAGTAAACGACTGCACACACAAAATGAAAAGCAGACTCTGTAATGCTGGATCGTACAGTGGGATAAAGAACATGCTACCAGCTTGTGGGCATGTAGTTCAAAAGATCTTGTTTTCTGTCCATGTCTGACCTCATTGTTTCTGCTGCGTCTTGTCCTTTGCGTGTCTCCTGGCAGGCTGAAGAGCAGTTGCGTATTGTGGAGGAGCAGAGAAAGATTCACGAGGAGCGCATGAAGCTGGAGCAGGACCGTCAGAGGCAGCAGAAGGAGGAGCAGAAAATCATCCTTGGCAAGGGCAAGTCTCGGCCCAAGCTGTCCTTCTCCCTCAAGGCCGCTGAATGAGACTGCTCCCCCTTCACCCCCATGCCATTCTCTGCCCTCGTCCCTCTCCAGCTGTCTGACCCCACTCCTCCTCCTCTGTGGAACACACTTCGTTTTGGAAGTGCTGAAGACAGGCCAAGGACAGTGTGTTCACTCCCTCGTCCAGGCCCTGGTCCAGGCCCTTGTCCTGTCCCGGCCTTGACGAGGAGGCAGCTCTTCACCCTAAAAGGACCTGACTGCTCCCTGCATCCTTCTGCTCCCTACCACACACACACAGATGAATGCTTTTTGTTTTTCCTTTTGTTTTTAGGGAATTTGAACTTTTGATGTAGAATGCTATGACCTGTCCCTTGCCCCAAGTCTTAACTTTGGTGTAACAGTGAGAAACTGTGCACCTGTGCTCTTCTTACATGTCTTTACAGCCAGCAGACCACAATAGAAAGCCAGTCCCTGACATAGACTGTGTGTGGCTTTGTCTAGTTCAGCTTACTGTTGAAGCATATGCGCAGCCTGGGAGCTGGTGTGCAGTTTTCCTGTTTTCATTTCTTGTAAAAATAAGGTGTCTAAAGTGGCTGACACGCAGCAACAAATCGCAGCACAGCCTTTAAAAGCACAATTCACTTCCCGTCCAGCTGACAGGTTTGTGTCTTCCTTCTTCCCTCCTTCCACCGCCCATATGCTTAGCTACAGCTTGTTTTCTTTCTGCGTCAACTTTGTCTGCCATGTGTCTAATGTTTTTAGCAGCATGTTGTCCTGAGAGGAGCCATAAAGCTAGTATCAGATTCAGAGTCGCTGCAGTGCAGGTGAACTGAGCTTCGACTCCCAGGCTGCTCATGACTAAACCACAGACCTTAAACAGGATACCTGCCTGGCCTGTGATAAGGGGGCCTGTGGGTAATGGAGGACAGGGGGCATTTCCTGTACAATGTAATGTTATTAGCCTTGCTGTGGTGTGCTGACTCCACTTCCCCCCTCCCTATGTTAAGGTTGTGTTATAACATGGATCCACAATTACAAAACACAAAGTTAAAGTAACGGTAACAGTTTGGTTTTATCAGATGTTTTGTGGAAAAAGGTAAATTGTACAAAACATCCAGTCATACTTGTGTTGTAGTAAATTGACATGGCAAGGCACCTCACTTATGGATGGACAAGTTCAGGTAAGATGAGGTTTGAGGTCAGTGCCGCGTGCGTGTGTGTGCAAGCGTGTGTATGTGTGTGAGAGAGTGACTGGGCACCTGACCTCATGTGGGTATACCTTTTTGTTATGTTGGATTTTGAATTTAACAAGTAATTTCCCCCATTGTCAAGGGAGTGAACAGTTCAATAAATCCACGGAATGCTTACCCTGCTGTTAATTCACTCATTAGTTATTCATTAAGGCTTTGACTCAAAGTGGAGAGGAAGCCCATCTGAGCTCCACAGAGGTCAATTCACTGGGAAGTGCCTGCCCACACAACCGGAAGGTCGGCGGTTCGATTCCCGCCCAAGTGCCCTTGGGCAAGACACTGATCCCCAAATTGCCCTCGACGGCCAGAGGAGCGCTTTGCAGCGACAGCGCCGCTGAAGGGCCCAAAGCCACAGATGGCTGCCTCAGTTCTGTCCTGGAGACCAATTCCGCGCGTGTGTGTGTGTGTGTGTGTGTGTGAGTGGGAGAGACATACTTGGCCAATAAAAGTGATTATTATCATTATCATATTACAGATTGCACGCCACGATCCATTCCTGTCCCCGAGCCCTGCACAGCCAATGCATCAACGTCAAGTTAACGAAATCCGCGCAATAACGGCGCATAATCAGATGGCAGCTCCAGGCCGAGACTTGTGCGGCCGCTGTTTGTTTCCACTATGTGAAGGCTGAGATTAGTGCACACCGAGCGTGAGTGGAGCAGGCCCGGCTTCGTCTGCTTTTCACCGGCTTCAAGTCGATGACAAACCATCTGAGCAGAAGGACCGCTCTCTGTGGAGACAGAAAGCCAGACTCCAAACTAATTGTAACTGTCGATTGCGTGTAAGGGTGTAAGTGAAGCGCGATGACGAATGAAGCTTTGGGCCTAGTGTTTGATGAATGTGATGAACCACTCGGCTCAGATCACCAGACCTTTACGCAGCGGTGCAGCCAGAGGCGCGGAGCGACATCCTACCACTAAACCCCCCACATCAACATCAGTGACTCGCATGCGACGCTTTGAATGAAGCAGGACCACCACAGTCCATCCCCAGTGTGAGAGCGGCCTAATCGGTGAACACAAGTTAGTCCCGAAGTCACACACCGACCCCGCCAGCTGCACCGTGGCCTGGCCGCCGTGCCACCGTACGCACTGCTGCTGCCACGCTTTGAACAGCTGACCGAAGCCAGTCCGGTAACAAGAAGCACCCCAGTTCAACCCAGCTTAGCACTTCAGG